GGGAGGAAAGAGGCCACGGCTTGGCCACCGCCTGATGCAGCCAGCGAGAGTCTGGAGGGGCTTTTCAGTGTCCTGGCAATAGGTGCTTGAAGCCCTTGCCTGCTTTCAGTGACCGCAAGGCCCGTTAGGAGCATCCCCAGGGCTCGGGGCGTGCTTGGCCACAGGTTTAGAGCAACCTGGTGTTCTGGTGGGGAGAACGGTGCTCACTTGCTTGGTCCCCGCTGGAAAATAGAGGTCCAGCACTGCTTTGCTTTGCACTCACTGGAGGCTCGCACACCCACCAAGAAGGAGCAGAGCCCAGCAGCCCCCAGATTATTGCTCCTCAGGCTTCGGGGCACAGGTGGAGTGGCCCTTCCACCTCATTTTCCTTTGCTGCTTGTCTCATCTGCCCACAAACTGACCGCTTCCCATCTGGGCTGGGGCACTAGTTCCCTTGCCAGCCACGTAACCCGTCCGACGGCAACCTCTGCTTTTTCTTAGTGCAGGAGGAAAGTCCCAGCTGCAGGTAGCCAGAGATAAGGCGAGGTTTACATCTGGTAGAGCCAGAAGCAAAGGTGGCGGTGCTGCAAGGAGGATGCTTTTAGACCAAAAAAACAAAAAAAAAAGCTGAGCCCTGCTGCAGCTCTGCAGAGAGCAGGCAGCACCCAAGCCTGGGAACGGAGCGTTTGTGGTCCCCGTGCAACTGCACGGGCGACGATGCTCTGCGCTGGGCCCGACCGCCCTGCTCGGAGGAGCCCTGCCAGTAATGGGGAGTGGGGACGAAGGGGTAATAACCCGAGGCTGCAGGAGACCCTCATAGGAGACCCTTGCAGGAAAGTGGGTTGTGGAAGGGGTTGCAGGGTTGGCTTTGCTGCTCGCCCTCTCGCTTTTGTCGCGATGAGGGGGACAGGTTGTGGGCAGGGGGGAGAGGCTGGAGCTGCACCCACGAGCACGGAGAGGTGCCCGAGGGGCGCTGGCAGAGTTTGGGTGACCAGGTAGGGCAGGGTGTACATCAGGCACCCGGTACGTGCCGCACAGCCAGCTGGCACGGCCGTGGGCTGCCCCGCGGCGCAGCTGGTGCTGGGCAAGGCACGAGGGGGGAAAAAACCATCCCAGCTGAGACAGAGAGCAAGAAACGGAGCGTGGGCCCTTCGCTCTGGCTCTGCAGCGGCGTGTGCTTGTCCTGCCTTGTTACGTGTTTGCTGTAATAATATTTCCCCTTTAAGGCTGGGCTGAAGTTATTTATACTTGCGGGGTGGTGACAGGAACACAGAGCGGAGCAGGAGCCCTGAACTGCTCTTACCTGATCTGCGGCGGAGGGGCGGCCGGAGGAGGAAGGAAGCTCAGAGAAAGAGAGGGAGCGAGAGAAGTGAGTCCAAAGGAGGGGAAGAGAAAGCAGGCAGGGCATCCCCAGGGAGGGACGAGGGAGGGGACCGGCTGGGGAAACAGAAAAAGGGGGAACGAGGGAAGAAGGAACGAGAGGAGTAAGGAGGGAGAGGTCCTCAGGGAAAAGCAAGGGGCAGAGCGGCTCTGGGGAGCCGAGGGGCTGCCAGCATCCAATGCCAAGCATTGCAGAGGGGTGCTGAGCGGGCACAGCCGAGCGGAGCAGCTCTCGTGGTCCCCTCCCGGCTCTCAAGATGATGAAGAGGCAGTTTAATCGGATGCGGCAGCAGCTGTCCCATCCCAACATCACCAGCCGGTAAGGAATTCTCCACTGCCTGTGCCGGAGGGCTGGGAGGGAGTGGGACGAGGGTCCTGGAGGGCTTGCGCCAGGGCTGGACTGACCTTCTGCGGCCGGTGGCAAGGGGAAACGGGGAATGACCGCAGGTTTAGAGCATCTTCAGTGTAAGCCGAGGGGCTATGTCTCCCCAGCACTCGTGGGGCACCAGGAAGGCTGCGCTGGTGCTGCTCAGCAGCGACGTGATCCCCAAGCCCGGCTACCTCTCCCAGGGCCCACAGGTGCTACGTCCACCTGGAAACGGGCCTTTCCTAAGCTCGGCTTCCCCAGGATGTGAGGGCAGTGGGGAGGGACCTTCCAGCCATATGCCGTTGGCTGCGGAGGGTGTTTGGAGCTGGGACCTGCCCTCCTCGCTGAGACTGGGTTGCCCCATGGGAGCCAGATGCCCTGCATATCTCTAGCTGGCCCAGCAGTGCGGTCCTCGGAGGACCCATGGAGGACTTACAGCTTCACACAAATCCCTCTGGCCCCGTCCCACCTCCGTCGCTTCCTTATTTTTCTCTTCAGCTTTCCAAAGCTCTCCCCTTGCAAAACCCAGCACTGAAATTACAGGGCTGGGCCCTCCCTTCCCAGCCCCCTCACTCCCTCTTCCCTACAGCCATGCCCGCAGGTTCCCCTGCACTGGGAGGGTGAGCGGGCCCAACCGTGTCCCCTGGACCACTGAGGTCCTTCAGCCAGCCCAGCAGAGTGACCACAGGGAAGCAGCTCCCTCATCCTGGTGGCCTTTTTGCTCTTCTTGCATTCCCCAGAGGGGAGCATGATCCCCTTTGCCATCCCTCCTCCCTCAAGATGTCTCATCTCTGCTAGACGTGCCTCCCTTTCGTTTAATGCCGGGCAGGCAGGAGGTCTCAAGCAGCTCATGCAGTCCAAGAGCGAGGTCTTCACCCGCTGCAGAGCCTCTCCTCTGCGGGCTGCGATCTCACGTGATTTCGCTTGCCTTCAACCAAGTCGCCCCCGTTTCCTGCGGTTCCACAGCCTCGTCCCACATCGGTTCTAGCAGGCGGTGAAAAGAGAGAAACACGAACTGGGGAAAAAGCAGCAGCAGCAGAGAGAAAGCAAACGGGGTTCCCTGGGTGTAGCAATGGCAGCAGGCTGTGGAGCAAGGTTTTCTCTACAGGAGGCATCAGGGAGGTTTGGTGGTGGTGGCGGCCGGTGGCTTTTGAATTTGGTTTTGAGCAGAATTTGCTGAAAACCAGAGGTTTCCTTTGCCAGACTTGCTCCTAATACCTGCTGCAAAGCCAAGCAGAAAGCTGGTTTCACATAGTCACTTCTGGGGGTGGCTGGTGTCTCAGTCCCCAGCATGAGCACAAAGATATCCTTGCCCCAGCACCGGTGGCCCCACAGCCGGTGGCTACCCGGGCCTGCAAAGAGGTGTGCTGGGCTCCAGCAGCGCTGCCCTGGATTCGCCCTCAGGGCAGAGGCAGGCGGTGGGGGGAGAATGTTCCACCAGCAAACATCCCACCCATGACGTGGTCCCACTAGGCACCCTGTCTCCAAAAACCAGGCCGCATCTGAGTGTTTTGACTGTGGTGCTCTGAACTGGAAACCCTGCCTGATGGGGTGTCCACCAGCCAGCAAGGTTGGCTCCCTTGCCGTGCTCCTGCTGTTCTCGTCCCCCCAGGCTCATTCTGTCCATAGACTTGTGTACGGTGGTCCAGGCCATAGCCAGCCTCTCCGGGTCCCTGGAACCCAGAGAAGGCAGGTGGGATGCACAAGGACCTGCCTTCCCAAGAAGGCTGAGTGGAGGTCACCTCCATCTGCTGACGGCTCCTTCTTCTTCCTCCGCAGAGCCCAAGAAGCAACCGAGCTCCTGCCGGAAGATTTGCTGCAGGTGAGGCGCGGGCTGGGCCGGCAGACGTGTGCCTGCTTGTGCCCGGGCGTGGGAACCTGCCCGCTCCTGCCTGCCATTTTCCTGGCCAGCATGTCCAACTCACAGGGCTGGGATCTGCCCACGTGCCGGAGGACAACTCAAGGACCATGGCATTAAGGGAATGGCAGGCTCCTGCCACGGGAAAGGGCTTCCCCACCTGCTCACAGAGGGATGAATCCTGACCAGGAGCTGAGCTGCCTTTTCCCTGGGCCGGGGATGCTGGGCAGGCTCACCCATGCCCAGAGCTGGGTGGTGGGGAGATGGCCTCGGGGCGCCTACGGATGGATGGTGAAGGGGCTTCCCCAGTGCCACCTTCCTGCCCCCAGATTGAGCAGAGGATCGAGCCGGCGAAGCGAGCAGCTCACAGCGTGTCCAAGAGGCTCCAAGCCTGCCTGCAGGGGCAATGCGGCTCCGAGATGGACAAGCGAGTGGTGAGTGGAGTCCTCCCTCCACAGCCCACACTCGCCTGGCTCTGTCCCCATCAGCAAAGGGGATGCCAGGCCCATGCTTTGCAGGCTTTGCTGATGGGTGGCCTAAAGCCCAGCCCAGGTCCCATCTCCAGCAGTGGATACCAGCAGGTGCCTTGGTAGAGCAGAGCAGGGCAAACCTCTCTTCCATCACTATCTTGAGGCCTCCTGAGACAGCGATGATGTCTTTGCATTGAATAACCCTCCAAAGCCCTGTTGTCCTGGTCCCTTCCTGAACCCCTGTGAACCTCTGGCATCCACAGTGCCCTGCGGTGAGAAGAACCACAGTGTGGCTGGGCACAGTGGTGCCACCTCCTCGGTTTGAACCTCCCACCCAGTTCTTCCCAGCTGATGCTCACCAGCCCTTGTCTGGGAAGCAAACAGTGGATCCCTCTGCACTTTCCTGAGCCCCTGCATGATTCTGTGGGCTCCTCTCTTCTTGGCAGCCTGACAAGCCCCAGCTTGGCTTAATTATTCCCAGTGATTAAACTACTCCATACATTTGAAGCCATGGCAGGCATTCTAACAAACTATGGAGCCTCAGTGCCTTGTTTAGCTAACTGGATCCAGGCTTTAGCTGAAGGGACATCCAAAAGGCCCTTCCTCAGGTACCAGGGCCAACAGGGCTGGGTGGGCCAGGGGAAGATGTGAGGACCCAGCACAGGGTTTGGCCACTTCCTCCCATGCCATGGTGGCACACTTCATGGGGAGGGAGCTGCCACATGCCAGCTCACCATCCCTTTCCCGAATCCTTCGCTCTGTGCAGAAGAAGCTGCCCTTGATGGCTCTGTCCATGACGATGGCTGAGAGCTTCAAGGAACTGGACACAGAGTCCAGCCTCGGGTAAGTGCCAGTGGGACAAAGGGCTGGGTGAACCCAGAAGAAGCCAGACCCTGGCAGAGCCACTGTCTTGGCTCAGGAGCTTCCACAGCCAAGCTGAGCTGTCAAACCCTGTCCTCAGAGGAAACGTTGGTGTTGCAGAAGAAGAAAGGACAGACAGCACCTTCAGCCTCCAGTTGCAGAGGCTGGCTCAGGGTCCCACATGAGTATGGGTATAGAATCACAGAATCATCAAATCATAGAATAGTTTGGGTTGGAACGGACCTTTAAAGGTCACCTAGTCTACCCCTCCCCCCTCACCCCAGTGAGGAGAATTCTTTAACTAGATCACGTTGTTCAGAGCCCCGTCCAACCTGGCCTTGAACATTTCCAGGTATGGGACATCTGCCACTAATCCAGGCAATTTGTTCCAGTGTTTCCCCACCCTCATTGTAAAAAATGTCTTCCTTCTATCCAGTCTAAATCTACCCTCTTCTAGTTTAAAACCATTGCCCCTTGTCCTATGGTGGGGGGATGTTGTGTCAGAGGGTGGCATGGCTCCAGCCTACAGTCATTTCTTCTCTGACCCCACACAGGAAAGCCCTGGAGATGGGCTGCTTCATACAGAGCTCGCTGGCCAAAATCCTGGCTGAGTTCGAGATCGCCCTGGAGCATGACGTCCTGCAGCCACTCAACAAGCTCAGCGAGGTAGCCCTGGCTGCCCTCCTGGCTCCACTCTCCCATCCCACCTCCCCTTGCTCCGTCCCCAAGCCTCTGCAACTCGCTCTGGTGCCTCTCACCCACAGGAGGAGCTTCCCATCATCCTGAAGCGCAAGAAGACGCTCCAGAAGTTGATCTCTGACTGGAACACCATCAAGAGCCGGTACAGGGCACAGCATGGATGGGGAGGGCCAGGGCATGTGGGGCGCAGCTCTCAGCTAGGCTGGGGGAGAGAAGATGACTGCCCTTGGGACCAAATTTCCCAGGGCTGGAGGTGAAGTCAAAGAGGCAGCAGCTCTTCAGGAGCGCCCAGCCAGGCTCTCTCTGTGGGGCAGCCATGGGTCGTTGGTGGCTTGTTTCCACACTGCCCTCCCTTTGGCTGGAGGGAGGAAAGGAGGGAACATCTCAGGAACAGGGCTTGGGAAGGGTCCTGCAGACCCTGGGTCCTTCACACAGCCGTGCCAGGTGCTCCCCATCTTGACCAGGTCACACCCCTTGGTGTGACAGCATCTTCCTCTGGGGTGGGAAGTGAGAGGCCAAGGAAAGCCACCGCAGGACAGTACTGTGACTTGCCACTCCCCTCACGGTCCCCATACCCTTTCTGCACACCCCTCCCACCCCGTGTCCCTGGTGCTGAGGCTGTGGGTCTGCCTCTTCTCTCCCACCCCAAAGGCTGAACCAAGCTGCCAAGAGCTCCAGTAACAGCTCTGGTGCTGGCACTGGCCCCGGAGCATCTTCTGCTGCCAACAAACTGGAGATCTTGAAGGAAGAGGAGGAGGAGGTGAAGAGGAAGGTGGAGCAGTGCAAGGTGAGAACATCACTCGCTCTCTCCTGTGGGGCAGCTCCAGGGCTGGAGACCTGCTCCCCTCCAGTGGCTCCATCCAAGGTGACCCCATGTCAAGTCAGATGCAGCCAGCTGGCACATCCTGCCCTCTACAAGCAAACCAAGTCCCTCGAGGAGCAGAAGTAGGGAGATGCCCCAAGCCTGGGGAGGAAGAAGGGCAAAGGATTCAAAGCAAAAGCTGCTGCAGATAGGAGGCTCCAGGCTACAGCAGGGAGCTTATGGGGTCCCCTCAGGCTGGGAGTCAGCTGAGTTGGGGTCTGTGCTGGGTGGCAGAGGACTTTCCCATCAGCTTTCTCCACCTCTGCCCTGTTTCTCTGAAAAGCCCAGTGCCTTGTCTGATAGATCCCATGGGCCTGCTGGAGCTGGAGGTGCAGGGACCTCTTGCCCCTGAGCCTCTTGTGGCAGGACCCTGATCATAGGCCAGGTCACTGACGCTACCCAAATGCAAGCAATGGGGGCAAGGATAAATCCCCATGTGGTCCTAGCCTACCTTCCCACCACATCCCAGAGACCCTGTCCGGGTGACTCATGGCCCAGACCGAGGAGCTTTGAGAAGACATCCTCTCTTCCTTGGGTGCCAGGGAGGAGGTGCAAGTTTGCTCTTTTCTGTGTCTCCCTTCCCAGGACGAGTACATGGCTGACCTCTACCACTTCTCCACCAAAGAGGACAGCTACGCCAGCTACTTCATCAGAGTAAGTCCTCTCTCGCACTTCTCCTCCACATGTGAACATCTCCTGGGGCATGTGTGAGCCCATCCTCGTCCCCACTCGCAGAGAGCCCTCCGGCCGGGGCAGGGGACAGCCCCAGGCACCAGCAGATGCCCAAAGCTGGCCTTGCTCCATGCACCGCAGCTGCACATCGCCGCTAGCACCAACTGCAAATAGAGCAGCTTGTCCCGATGACCCCCCCATCCCCAATTTGCCCTCTACCCCTCACCACAGCCATGGTCCCACAAACCCCGGAGGGGTTCCCCTTGCAGCTTCCCCTTTGCCCTGTCTCCATGTGGGTGCAATGTCCTGGGGATGGGGGTCTCTCCAAGAGGGGCGGAGGCTGAACTGAGCACTGTTTGTGTGTTCCCTTTCAGGCAGCTGCTGGAAATCCAAGCCCAGTACCACCGCCAGTCCTTGGGATCGCTGGACTCGGCTCTGGCGGAGCTGAAGGGAAGCACCAGCACGGCACGACAC